GGACTTTGTGGTTGATATTTTTGTCTAAAGTAATTTGTTGCCTAAACGTCACTGCATCTATAAAACTGTTCTTAGAAACATCTAGGAGTTTCAAACTTTTGTATGATGGACAATAAACAGGTACAGTCGTTATTAGCAAGTCACTTCAAATCTGTTTGCTAAGCAAACTATAATTGACCGAGCAAAAAAAAGTGACTGAAACTGTTCAAGATTATTAAAAAAGATTATTTTTTAAAGCAGTTTAAACAGAAATGTTTTTGGAAAATTGTTGTGTCTAACAAACCGATCAGACTGCCTTTGCCAGACCAGAATACTTCAAAAAATTTTTTTTCTCACTGATTGCTTTTATGACTGGCGAGTGTTCGTCAAATTCTGAGGAAAATTCTTATAGAACCTGGGAGATAGCTGCTTAGACAGTATAATAAACAATTTGAGATGAAGTATTCTAGATCTGTGTTGAGCAGAAAACTGTTTTTTGATTTTACTTTATAATGCTATTGCATGGACGAAATGTGCAGTACTACAGCGATATTGGTTACATGATTATTTTATGGTTTCACTAACTTCGACAATTGAATTTCAGAAATTACTTACTTAAAGTAACGGTCGAGTTGAGGCAGATGCGAAATCCTGCATAATTTAGGCGGCATAAGGAAAATGACTAGCCTAAAGAGTGTAGACGCATCCTGCTTTCTGCTCAACGACATCCCTTTAGACCCGATAACAGACCCTTCCAAAAATACTGCCACAAACAGCGTACATTATATTGGTAATGGTGGTGCCAGGGCTCCTTGCATTTCTCTGACGGAACATACTGGTTCGCTATGCTTGAACTAAAAAATATTTAAATTATAATATAGGCAAAAAAAACTGTTAATTTCTTTTAATCCTCTATGAGTTTGAAAACCTTTAAGAAACCTCATGTAAAATGAGATTCAGATTGCTTATTTATTAGCCGCATATCATGCCATTTTAGATTTTCATTCATTCTGTTTTTACAGCTTTCAACTTTCCAAAATAGTATTTTGTAAATAAAAAGTTGAAAAGAGGAGAAAATTTCCTGGATAAAAAAAAGTCTCGATGCATTTTTTCAGGAAAATCAAATCGACCGAAACGAAGAAAACTGTTGTCAATATGGCAGTACTTAACGTTACGCGGTTTATTTCAGTTGTTAGGTAAGCAGTTAAATTTTTTTGATCTCATATGGCTATTTTTTTAAAATAATTTATACTTTTTTTGGCAAACTACGTAGGAGCTCAATCAGATATACCAAATTTTAACAACGAATATACGTCGTAACTTCGAGATCTTGTGATCTTTAGGTCAAAGCGTCGGTGCTTATCCAATGGTGTACATTGCATTATCTTTTTTGATCTCATCTTTTTCATTTGGTATGTTCAGTATGGTATTGAAAGATCGTATTCGTGAAGGATATACACCAGTGAATGCTCCATCTCATTACGAAATGAATGTGATGCGCGAATTTTGGAACTCTTCAGGTATTTTAGAATTTCCGGCGCAATGCTTTTCTTTAATCAGTGCAATCGGAAAAATACAGAATCACCTGTTTAGAACTGTTTTTTTTAATTTCAGAGTACTTACAGGAATTTGTAAGAAAAATAACGTTATTTACAGGAGATCCTATGATGATGATCGTCCTTTTGCGGTCAAAAGATGGCGGTTCTATGCTAAGGGACGAACATCTGAGTGAGGTGGTTCGACTGCACGATTTTTTAACTAGTAATTTCTCAGCCAAATACGGTAACACTTCGGTGAAATACAGCGACTTTTGTAGATCCTACTGCACCATCAACTACAGTCTAACAATGTTCATCGTAAGACTTTTGAATACTTTGACCATCTACTGATTATGCCAAGTAATAACCGTAATACAATGAATGGCCGTAGGTTTCAGTGAATACTTTTGGACACAGGATTGACTTGCCAGTGTTACTTCTTCACTGATAAATTTCATTCATCCATAATTTTCTGCTAAAAAGAAGTCTTCTACATTTTTTGCTGCTCGTTTTTACTGTTTTCTGTGTTTTAGTTTTTCCCCGCTTTTTCTTCGTGTAAGATTAACTGTGTAAATCACTTGTACTTCTTGATAAACAGTTAAGAATTATTTCCAATTAAAGAAGAAAACTAAAAAATATACCTCTTTGAATTTTTTGAAGCTAGGATAACAAAGCGGACGATTCTGCTGAAGTATACAGATTACTAATTAACGGTGATGTTGTCGTAAAAGGGCAACACTTTGCCCAATATGAGAAGTTAAAATTCTTCAAGTTTGGATCTCCAATGCGCTTCCTGAGCTTATTTTATAGTCTTTCAAAAATACAGAGCAGAAATAAATTGCCATTTATTTGCCATTTATCCCACTTGCCATTTAAATTTTTCAGAGTTTGTTTAAACTTAAATAATAAAAACAAAATGGTTTCGTAATTTCCAAAATAGGCTTACAGCTTGCTTCTGTACCTCTTGCTCCCTCCGTCACCACTCTCTCTTATATTCGTTCCTTATCCGGGTCAACTTACTACCTTAAATCAAAAATAGTGTAGTGTTGCATATGTTGAGTAAGTAGTCCGGTTCTTCCACTTATCAAATTTTGGTATATTTCTCGTGTTGAGGGGAGAGAAGAGTTTCTAATGCTTCAAATATCGTTTAATTGAAGGTCGCACGATTACATAAGTCGGTTTACTTTTTTAGCAGTTCTATTTAATCTTTTCTACTATATATTACAGATTTTTGATTTAGCATTGCGCACTTTACTCATTATTTTGACGGGTGTCTCAACTGACATATTGAAAAGTTTCAATTAGTGTTTTGGGAGTAGGAGATTGTTTAAAACGTTCTCTGATAAATCGTTTCATTGGAAAACTGTAATTTACAGGGTTAAAATATCTTTTCAGCAGTGGCTGGGTTTTGAAACTTTAAACCTTCAAAGAGGTTTGCCACTTTCAAACTCTACGACGTTAAGTTACCCACAAGCTATTTTGGATGGTCTGGATGTCCATATAGAAAGACATTTATTTGGTGTTACACTGAAGAAACAGGTTGCAAAAGACGCCTTTGTCGGAAAAAACTTAACAAAGGATAAGCTTCCGCCAGATACCAATTATGCGCAGCTGCTTACTAATATGAACTCCGTGAAGGTATGAAGGATATTTATTTTACAGTAAATTGTAACTTACATAAAGTTATTCATGACAAAAATTTTCATGCTTACGTTAATTTCTCTTTTTCACATTAATTTTTTGTTTTTGGTTGTAAGCAGCGAAAGCTGTATTCTTGAAAGAATGTATTTCTGCTCGCAAAGGTGATATTTATTGATAAAAAATAATTAATTTACCTCTTTTCAATAACAGTTTCTTAGCTTTTTATGCATCTATAAAAGTCTACAGGTCATTTTAATGGTTTATCGGGGCGATAAACTAAATGAAACACTTGATGAGGCTCTTACAACTTGGGAACTTGAAGCATTCAAATTCAGTCGGGAAAAATATAATAATGATTTTATTGACATGCAGGTAAGCACAGTTGAAGGTTTTGTAACTTTGATCAAAAATGCCTGAATTTTTCGTTTTCTAAGACAAAAACATTTAGGTGATAGGCACAGAGATCTTAGAACAAGCAATGACTAAAGATGGTCAACGGCTAACGCCCTACTTTGCTGCTGGTAAGGTTAATTGCATTACCAAAGTTTGTCGGAGTAAGTTTTTTAGAAAATAAGTCGCTTTCGTTTTTTCATTTACCTCTTTTCAGTAAACAAACTGTGACTGAGCTTCAAGAACAAGAAAATTTATCTGCCAAAGTTATAGCAGTTTGTTGAGAAAAAAAGTCGAGATGCTGCGAGAGATTTATGAGATTACTGAAAATTAATCAAAAACGTCTACAAAATGTACTTTAAGATACCAAAATTGGTAATTTATGTCATTTGACGTTTTTTAGTGTCAAGCAAAATTACCTGTTTTAAGGTTTCGGTTTTATGATGTTTTTTGTAACGGTTACTGTCTTAATGAGCGCTGTATTTTACGACGCACTGGACTGGGGAAAGGCACTTGTAGCGGGTGGTGCAATTCTCTGCCCGATTTTATCAATAACAACGACATACGGATTTATATCATTGTTGGGCATCCGGACAAATTCTTTTATGTTGGTAATGCCGTTCCTGATCATGGGGATAGGTGAGTCGCTGGAAAATTTTCTGTCTTTTTTGTTTTGTTCTTCGAATCTTTTTATAATTGTTAATTAGCTTTCTTTTTCATTTTTTATTCTAGTTTTTGAACTCTATCCTTATCAGTGGAGTAAAAAAAGTTAAGCTTTGGAAAGTAGAGGTTATGAGTACATTCACATCCTTTTCTTCTTCTTCTGCCGCCTCTCTTCACATGCGACATCTGTCGCCTAAGAAGTTTTTGTGGCAGCCCACTTTTATCAATACCCATCGTCACTTACAGGAGTCGATGACGGCTTTCTGATGATACATTCATGGCAGCGTCTCGCGTTATGCTCCAGCAGTGTAAGCGTTCGTCTTGGTCTTGTCTTTGAAGAAGTTGGGCCGTCGATAACAATCACTTCGTTGACCAATTTTATATCTTTTGGAATTGGAGCGCTGACTCCGACACCAGGTCATAACCCAGCGTCAATACTGCTATAGCGTACGAACTAACAGTAAAAGTATTTACACATCTGAGAAAATTTGGCTTTTCATTAGTTTTGAAACGGAGAAATTGTTTACAGAGATTCGATTATTTTGCATAACGACTGCAACTGCTATGGGCCTAGATTATCTTTATGAATTAATCTTATTCGGACCAATTCTTGCAATTGCCACTCGATGTGAGAAAACAAATATTGGTTGTTCAGAGGCTTCAAAGGATATGGAGCAAAAAAGTCTCTCAGGATGGCGTTATGAAGTAAAATACTTTTTTTTTCTAATAATTTTTTTGTATTAAGAGTGGATTGTGTGGTTTGGATTTTAAATCTGTGTTGCCGCTGAGGTTACCAGCGTTAGCCATAATGTTGTGGAAGACTTTCTTTGTCAGTTGTTTCTTGTTCCTTATTGCAGATAGACTGTTTCATGAAATGGGTATTGAAGATTTATTGTAAAATGATCGGACATCGTATTTTTACTATAGTTATAACTGTCGCGACGGTTCTATACTGGTATTTTGCTGTTATTGGCGCTCTGAAGATCAAAACTAGATTAGATACCGTGAAAATTCTACCGAAAGACTCAGCTATGCAAGCACCAAACCAGATCCTCAATGATATTGGTTTGTAATTTCAAGAGCGACCAAGAGCTTTTATTAAAGTTCTTTTACAGATTTGAAGAGCGTAACCAATTCTTTTAAATTTCTTTTCCGAGTGAAAAATATAAAAAATTTTTTTGAGATGAAATTTTCATAATACAAGGAAATTGTAGAATATATCTTGTGACATTGGATTTCTCAAGTTCTTCATCACTGTACAGAATAGCAGGTGCTCGTAGTATACCTCATAAAAATTTGAAAAGGACCTTGATGAGAAAAGTTAATGCTAAATAAGAAAATAATTTCCTTTAAAATTACAAAAAAAAAAGAAGGGAAATAAAGTCTATGTTTAACAATTTGCTTTATGGTAAAGTATATTAATTAATGCCGTTCTCTGCTAATATAATTCCAGTAGATTGAGAATAGAGATTCTGCTTTGTTGATGAAGTGCTTTCTGCAGTTGAAGCCTTAAGGCAATAATTTAGACCTGCAGTACAATTTCAAAGTTTTATTTTTTATTCTTTGCTCTGCTTTTATACCTAATGCATCCGTTAGTCTGCTGATATTAGAGTCATTTTTAACTATGCATTTGGTTAATTTTACATTTTTAGGAACTGAGCCATTTCATACTTGTTTCTGAAACAAATAACAATTTCCTTTGAGGTTAACAAAGAATTTTGACGTGGTACTGTGGTGATGAAGTTTTATGCTTTCTTCTTCCAGTTGACTGCTAAGTCTCAAAGTTTCTTTAGTGTGGGCAGATTATCACGCAGTGACTGTTTTGGTAAATAATCCATTCGATCTTCGAAAAGACGATCAGTTAAAGCGGCTCAACCAGTTGGTGGGCGAGCTCGAGCAGCTTCCAAAGTGTAGAAGTAAACGTTTACCGTGTCTTCTTGAAAATCTACGAAAATTTAATTATCAGTATCATTGCCGTTTTTCCGTTACCTGCGTGACGTTTAATGGATTAATATCTTTTAGAGCGGTCTACTCTGCTGTGGTTGAGAGACTATGCAACTTTTTATCACACGCCAAAATTCTCATTTGAGAACTTTTTCTTTGGAGCTGATGTTGAAACAACAACGCCATCATTACTTCGTAACGGACAATCTGGTTTGGATTATGATAGATTAGAAGAATTTCTGGATTCACTTCTTTATTCACATTGGAGGACGTTTTTAAAAACAGAGCAAACGAGGTAAGTTCTGAATCTTCTAAGGCATTTTAATTTTTTATTGCAGTGGATATTTGAAACTGGGAAGAATACTTGCGAAATACTGTTTATAAAACCAAAAATCAAAAAGTTTAGAAGGAACTAGAATCTACGTGAAAACAATAATTTTTATTGCACAATTGTCTGTGTTTAAAAACTTCTTGAAAGGCATCAAGCAGTGAGGGATTAATTGTTTGCCAGTATCAAGATGCTTCAAAAATCACTCTTTATTTCCGCCTTGTTTCTTTAAGAGTTATTTCTATAATAACGCTTTCAGAGATGGTATTCGCATCAGAAAGTTTTGGTTTTCTGTCGCCTACCAGAATATGTCATCTTGGGAGGATAGAATAGATATTATGCAAACTTGGAGGAAAATTGCTGGAAAATATAAGGTTTTTTAACAGAAATAATGTTATAAATAATTTAATTTACAAACTTTGGTGTTTTTCATTTTCAGGATCTTAACGTTACAGTATGGGAAGCAAATGGGATGTTCGTTGACCAAATGCTAAGCCTGAAAACAGTGGCTGTGCAGGTGGGTTGTTTAAATAAGAAGTTTTTTTTAGCTAAACAATATATATTTACTTTATAGTGGCTCTTTTGTTTGAATATACTGTGCTTACAATACATTAGTCATATCCACGTTTAAAAGGCTGTTTAAATGAAAATATAGCTGATAACCTTCTAGTAACTAAAATTTTAATCTAATTTTTATTGGAGAAAAAGTGTTTTTTTAGAAATATAAAATACTGCAAGTTTTTTTTTTGCCAATTTAAAAAGGTGAAATCAGTTTTCAAACCAAACTACGCCTTTTTTTCAAATCTTCTACTTCTTGATTTGCAGACTGGTATACTGACACTTATTTGTATGGCAGTAGTTTGTACAATATTCATTCCCAATCCATGTAGTGTCATAACAGCTTCTATTGCTATCGCTTCCATCAGTCTCGGTGAGTTTTAGAAGTCGGTTATTTCTTCAGCAACCAAATTGTGTCTGTTTCAACCGTTCTTGATTATCATCATTTACCCTGTCTTTTAAGGTGTTTTCGGATTTTTGTCGTGGTGGGGGTTTGATTTGGATCCAGTAACTATGGCAGCTGTTCTTATGTCTATTGGTTTATCAGTTGATTTTACCGCCCATGTATCTTACCATTATCAGGTAAGGTTGACAAACAATTTAGAAAAAATTTTTTTAATTGTCATTACATATTACTTGTTTATTACATATTACAGTTGTTATCATGTTGCTTTTCCTCTACCTCAAAAGTATTCAAAATTGGTTGTAACCTTAACAAACTTTTTCTTAAGTTGTGAAATTGCATTAACTGGAGTACTTTTTAGCTGACAAATCGGAAAGAAATACGAAACGGTAAAATTGTTAAAATACCAGTTAAGGGACCACAGGAGAAACTGGAACATACTTTGCAAACTGTGGGTTGGCCAATGATACAGGCCGGTGCCTCTACAGTAATGTGTGTGCTACCTCTGCTCTTTCTACAGGTATATTTCTATTTTATAAAAAAAACTTTTTTGCTATTACAGTTTTTTTGCAACATTTTTTTATGAACTTATAATTGAGGCATTAGCATTTAGCATTAAAGAACTGCATTTTAGAGTTACTCTCCAATCGTTTTCCTAAAGACTATTTTCTTGGTGGTTGCGTGGGGTTTGCTACATGGCTTGTTGGTATTACCAGCATTCCTTGGATCTTTGCCGGACTGTCTTACCAATGCAAATTGTTACCGAACGTTTCTTTCGACCAGCAGTGAACGTTCATGTCGTTATGCTGGTCCGGTGGAACTTGAGGGACAGGAAAATGAGATTAACGAAGTTGAGTAAAAAATGAATATTTTTCAATGGAAAAAAATTTTTTCGAATACAGGTTTTTTTGTCGGTATGCCTCAATGTATGGGTTTTATATCTATACCTTAGTAAAATTGCCGTGTGCAAGTATTTGTTTTTTTTTTGTTTTTATTTGACTGGTTTACCGTTCGCGGTTTCAGGTTTGTTAAACTTAAGTTGGAAGTAGCTTTTTTTCTTGTTGTTGAGGTTGCCCTGACAGTATTTTAATTTGCTCATTTTAAACAACATGTTGTACATTTTGTTTGTAAGTAGGTTGATTATTTGGCGTTCAAAACGGGTCTTATCCAGCAAACGGCTCGTATTTTACGCTTTCTTTATACTATACATTTCTTTTTTGTCTTGGCTTTTTTTTTTTGATATGCGTGAGTGTTAAATCTTTGGTCTTCCAGTATTTATAGATTATTTAACTCAGCCTATGATGAGCGATCAAAGTCAAGTTTTTTTTTGTTTGTAATCTTTCTTATGTGTTTTCAATAGTATTCAAATAATTACAACTTATTTTTCAAATTACTTTTACAATATTTGAATCATAGGGTCAAAAAAAATATTCTGGTAAAATTATTGGAGATTTTTATTGCTGTAAAAATTATACATTTTTTTGTTACTAAGAAGGAGTTTTTTTTTATTGAATTAAAAAAATTATTTTTACGAGCGTAAACTGAAGCGGGGATTTTTTTCTAATGTTTTGATTAGCGAATAAGGACTTTAAAAGTTTTGTTGTACATTAGTCAGCAATTACATTTTGATGATACCAAAGCAATAATATAGTTATTTTAGTGTTTTAGGATGTTCATGTTTGTTTACAGTTGTAATAATTCATTTGCAAACAGTAATTATGAATCGTTGCTGTGTACGTATACGTGGTAGTGTGCAATAAGTTAATTCAGAAATTTGCTGTTCTTTTTTTTTTCTCGATATCTGTTTGCTTTCTAATATCGTTGTGCTTTTGGTCACTTTAATTTGTAACTTATGGGGTACTGCTTGATAAATTAGTCAATGCGGGAAATTTTTTTAGGCTGTTACTAACAATTTATTCTAAATTAATTGTGTCAAAAAGTATCATACGGATTTTTTTTTAATTTCTGTCTTATAACTGACTGATTCAGTTTGTTGGTAGTACTAGCTGTTACTTTATTATAGCATGAAAAATAGGAAAGGAAAGGTTTATTTATAACATCAATAAAAATATTATTCAACTAGTTAACGACACGTTCAACGATTTGTAGAAATACGTTTCAAAAGTTGAGGATAAGCATAAAGTGATTGTCGTTGTACATCGCTGTTAGACGATTCACTGACTAAAACGTCTTTGACTGGTAGATTAAATAGTAAGACTGTAGAAATTCACTTGACTATTTCATATAAAACTTTAAAGTGCTATTGTCAGCTTTAAATAAGGCTTAGATTTTCTTTGGTTTTCTCAAACAACTGTGAAGTGAAAGGATAGGTGTTTTTTAGAAATTACTAAGCAAATGTGTTTAATCTGTGGTTTAAAAGTTTTCTACTGAAACACTTGCGCACAGGAATTACATATAATTGTTTCTATTTGAAAAAAGTGGCTGAAACTTGTCCATGTCATATCTTGCAAAATATTTTATCGCTGAGGCCAATGTATTGACGGGTGTTTATAAAAGTACAAGTATTCCTGCATAACTGTTTCCAGTTTGATCACTTCGCTTCATTGTTGGTGAGGAAACTTCTTGAAATGTCGTTAAGATAAAAATAAAAATCTGCAGAAACAAGAAGCCGTTTGCAGAAAATATTTAGCGTAACTTGATTTTTATGGCTGTTAATCTGAATGCAGTTTTGCATTCTGAAAACTTTGAAGCACCAGTTTAATCGCTATTTTCTTAGAATGAAGCAAAAAGTGGAATTGACTTAACAAAATAAACTGTAGGAATTGGAAGTACCATATATCCAGCTGCTGACTGTTGTCATATAAAACTCTAACTTGTAGGTTTCAGCTTTAAACAAGGCTTAGATTTTCTCTGGTTTTCTTCAAAAAGTGTGAAATGAAAGAACAGGCGGTATTTAAAAAATACCTACAGTATATGTTTGCTTAAAAAATGCTTTTTTACAGGTGAATAAAAAAGATAGAAACCTTTATAAAAAGTTTAATTTTTGGCAGATGTCAATAGAAAGAGATTTTCTGTAGCTGAATTTAAAAAAATAAGTTTTATTGCATTTTGAAGTCTAAAAATCAGCGTCTTTCTAGAGTTGTCTCATTTATGCGTAACCTTTGACGTTTAAGTGTATACTTATTGAAAATTCATAGCTGTTTTTGTCATTGAAAATTTGTTATTTTGTAACTTGGGAAAGAGTCTTACGAAAACCGATTATTGGGATTTGGGTTTTGTCTGAAAAAAAGATTACAAGTTATTATTTGTAACGGTCTTTAACAGACCCTGAAAAAATAAACATGTTCTTTGACTAGTCCCAAGAAATAATAAAAAGGTTTTTTTGCCCTAAATTTCAGTGTTTTTAAATGCTCATTCAAAAAACAACTGAATGTAGTTCAAAAAAAACTTTCAGCCATAATTAAAAGTCAGTTTTTCACCTTCTTTCAAGCACTTCTGTTTGGTACACTAGTATTTAAAAAGTAGTCATTTTATTTACAAGATAGGGTTATTATACACTTTAAAATTAGGGCAAACATAGAGTTTTTAGCAAGGGGTCTTTGTGGTAGGAAAACATGGGATAACGTTGTGATGGATAGGCAAACAACAAGTGCTATTGGTTTTCGGCTACCAATTTTTGTTGCATTACTTAATACTTCCAAAGCTTTCAGAAAACCATTAACCAGTTTTAGAAGCATGCACGTGCAGTATTCTTGGGAGCACTTAACTCGACTTTCTAACCATACTAAATTATGCTATGAAAAAAATTGTAACCAAGGAACATGTGAGAGATCAATTACAAAATCACAGTAATCAGGTGAAATGTGCCAGCTGTAATTAATTCAGTATGGGAATAGAAGTTAAGTATTTGTTGCAAGAATTATAAACTTTTCTTCTTTTTTTCTGTTCAAGATGTTAAATATTGTTATTTCGTATTTATTACAAGAATAACAATATGTATTTTTTTATCTGTACAGAATTTATAAATTTATATGAGAACTTTTTGCAAATTTTAAATTACTTTAGCAGTTTTACTAGGCATATAACTGTTGCTGCGTTTGTGGTATTTAAGCGCTAATTGTTAAAACAATTACAACAATGCGCGCAATACCGTAACAGTTGCGTCGTTTTTCCACTGTGAAATATCACCATATCCAAGTGACATTCAATTACGGATCATTGAAATACCTCATTTATACAGAAATATTTCTAGACCGTTCAACTCTACCACATATAGACTGTAGTCAAATAGAGTAGGCAAAATTGGAGATATTATACAGATGAATGAAAGTGCATTTCGAAGAAAATGTTGAATAAAAGTTGACTTGAATCAAAAGCATTGTTAAGAAAAGTTGCCATTTTTCAAAATGCAAACACCAGGCGATAAAGGTTTTTAAAGTTGCAGGTTTTCGAGAACTCAAATTATTTTTCACGTTTGTTGACAAATGCTGTTGAAAATTCAAATGAATTTTGCTTTGGCTTTTAAACTACAACAACCAAACATCAACCAAAAAAATTCATCGCTCATTAGTTCCATTTTAGGCAGCAACTGCAGGGGCTACGAGCGTGCTCACTGTGGTCGTAGTGACATACTAAATAAAATTCAAAGAAGACAATGTAAAAATAAACTAAAGATGAGCATCATATACTTTCTTGAACGGCTTTTCAAACACTCACTTTTTTAAAAATTCCATAATAGATTTCGCAGCTTCTTCATTTCCTTCGTAATTCTTCCAATGAACCACGTATTTACTAAATTCTGTAAACAAACTAGGATCCAGGTTTCCAAGGGTCACCACAATTACCTTACCCAAACGGTCAGCAAACGTTTTGGCCGTCGCCAAATCGTCTTTTTCACTGAAATACAAGGTGCTCATGCGATTAATACATGAGAGATAAAACCTTTACGATACATTTCAAAACCTATGGTAGCAGTATGTCTACCTAGCTGACCGTATGATCAGAACTAATTAGAAGTAAATGAACTGCTTTATTTCCTATTATATAATTCCAAAAAGAATAAAAAATTAACTAATACAGATTACAAAAAAATAAAAAAATAAAAATTATTAAAATTAAATATATGTTTATTTCGGTCTCAACTTCTGACTTTTTAATACTTGTTTCTCGTCATACAAATTGTCTACAATGTGTAGAGTTTTCAGATTACTGTATAACATTGCGGTGACGAGATAGTACGTAAGCTTATCAATGATTTTTTTGATTAGACAAATATATAACTTAAGTCGTTTGTATCTAGACATGTAAAAATAATATGTTTTGTTAGATATTATAATTAGAAACAACAAATGTATACCCGGTTGAACAAAACAGAATGACGTACTGATTTCCAAATTCAGGAAGCGGCTCAAAAAGTTTTAGAGACCGCTCTAGAGCGCTAAAAAAAGATGATTTCAAAATTTTATTTTGCAGAACAATTGCTTAATTAAACTACTTACAATTACAGAAAAACTAATTTATACAGTAGAATTTGCTACCACAGTAATCGACAGTATTTTTTTGACTGAGAAACTAGCCTTGTGATATTTGCAATCTTCCCAAAATAAAACGCGTTTCCTTCCAATAAAGATTTCAGGTCTTCTATCTTATTCATTTCTCCATAACCGGCAACAGGGTAGAGACTGCTTCTTTTTGCATATATTCCAACTGCTAGCCGCTCAAACCTATTCCAGTTTGAATTTGTCACCAAATCGTTTAGAACAAACAGTTTCTCCGTTTCAAACTGCAAAATTTAACAGATTTGCCAACGAAGCTTTGAAACTGCGATCTAACTTCTAATACTAATTCTATAAAAATTATGAACTTTGGATATAGATAATCTGAGCTACACTGTGGCTGCTACTGATCATACGCATTGTTGACCACGAAATTAGCATCCGTCTAAACTTCTGCTTTCAAAGTATAGTAAAATATTTTAAGATGGATGCTCGGTTGTGGTTCTTGTGCATAAGAATAAACACTGTAGCTATTTGAAAGAAAGCAGGTCTGAACAACTTAAATGCACTTTCGGTAGAATCGTAACTAACAGTAACATGAAGAGACAGCCGTTAAAGAGGTTTCACTTATAGTGCATTAATCACCGTAAAGTACTAATCTTTGATAAAGTTTTTAAAATTTGGAAGTTATGCTAGCAAAGAGCTGCAG